AAGGGCTTGTAAATTCGAATCCTAAGTTAAAGAGAGGAAAAAGAAAAGGAAAACCAAACAAAGGAAATTAATACTAAAATTATAATGTAATATAATAAGCAAAAGAAAATGTTCTTCTTACCATCACAAAAATCTTCAAAACGTTCCATAAAAAATAAATCGATCAATTATAATTAATTATTTTCAATCAATTGGTTTTAACAAAACGAAACTTGATTTCCTTACCATCCGGAATAGCAACAGAATTTAATGTAGTGGTTAAAAAATATAATGATAAAATCGTAATAAATAAATTTGATTTTGAGAGAGATATCATTTTTGTTTTTATTTAAAATAATTTTTTGTTGCGGGAATTTATACATGGTGATGATGCTTTTAACAAAAAGTTCTTTTCCGAAACAGGAATTAGAATTAGAATCAGAATTTGATTGGAGAGATCGTATGCAAAGTAAACTAAATTTAAAACCATGAAGTTTTATGTATATTAGTGAATTACATAGTGACGAATGGAGTTATATATGGGTCATACTGCAGAGTAAATATGACTAAACAGATCAGCTGTTTGATAAGCATTCATTTAAAGGACCATAATCTAAAAATAGGTTTTTGAGAACAATGAGAATAAGAATTGCATTTCTATAAATTGTGGATTAGTATGATTTCTAAAAATATTTTAAGTTGTGGCATTATATAGAAAAGCACCAGCAACTATACGGAAGAAATTTAATCCATGTTAATACTTTGATAATAATAGTATACACTATAGCAGAAACAAATCTAAGAATAACAAACGAAAATCTCAAGATAGATTTACTACAAATTTTATTTACAATATCAAAATTATAAGATCACATAATTATCAATAACAGGATTATGCAAGATATGAAGGCTGTATTTGATTACGAAGACATGTGGATATTTAAAGGCGAATAAACTTAATTCGGCTATTCTCAATATGCAGTAAGGAATTAATGGAGGATCTCGAGGAAATGTGGAATATTTGATTAAAGGCTTATTTTATTACTGTTGCCAACACGGAAAATAATAATAATAAAAACTGATCCTTAAAGTTAGCAGTGTATGAATAAGCGAACAAACGCGCCACTTGGTGTTGTGATGTGCGGAGGAATTCATGCTCGTTCAATCTGACAATACTTAAAACGCTCGAATCCTTACGCGTAGCATAAACTTCTATCGCGTCACCTATAAAAAATTTTTTACTGAACAGTGTTAGAAAAAATGTAATTCACAGATTTAGTAGGTAACAGTATATATATATATATATATATATATATATATAACTGTTACCTAATTAATGTAGACAATACAAAAATTGACCATGAAAATTATCAAAAACAGATCAAAGTGCAAAAGAAAGAAATTCAAAAATTAAAAACTAAAACTCAAGAAGTAAGAACATGACATGATCAATACAAACAGAATGAGATGAGTGCCAAAAATAAGAAAAGAAGGTATTAAAGAAAAGAAATGTGGATATAAGCTAATTGCAGACAACAATAACAAACAAGGATAAAGATAAAAAATAAAAGATTTAGAGAATGATTATGGTAATGAAAAAGAGACAACCAAGCAAATAATTAGGCAACTAGAGAGCGATATTGCTCAATTAAAGCAAGCAACTAAAGTATTTAAATGAAGATAAGAAAATAATAGTGAACAGCAAAAATTTATTTGGGAGCTTCAGGATAAAGTTAAAGCAAAAGCCTCAATTAATTAAACAGAAGAAAATTATTAAGAGTTAACTGAGGAAAAAAACAAAATAGCAATTAAGTGAATGTGAAAGTGAAAGAAAGGAAAGAAAAGTAGGTTAAGTATGATTTTATGGAGGTTATTGATTGAATAATTAGAAAGCTACGAAAGTTATGAAGCAAGGAATGCAAGGTCACATTATTTTGCTGAAATCTTTATGTTCACTTTGTCTGTTTTTGTTGTTATCAAATCATGTTTTTTAGTGCAGGTCAGTTTGTTGCTGAACTTTTTATTGGCAGTGTAGATCCTTTAATTCCTCCAAAAACGAAAACGTAAAACCAAAAAAAACAAACCATATCTTTCTCTAGAAAGTTACGATTTCATTAGGGCCGGGAAAATTCTATTGAATGTCACTGTCAACACCATGATTCAAAACAAGAAAAGATGACCTCGAAACTATAATTCGGGTCAATATAAATGTTGTACGTGAAAATGGAATTATGTGAATTGCGAATTCACATACAGTCTACACTGTCTATAACGGATCTTTCTATAACGGATTTTTTCTCTATAACGGATTAAAAGTTGGTCTCGATTTTTTACTATTTGAAATCTCTTTCTATAACGGATATTATTAATTAAGCCTTTTATTACGTATAACAGATTGTACCTGAAAATCACTTCATATGACTTACATATAAATCAACACTGCCTATAACGTATTCACGTGATCTGAAATAAAATGCAGATCTCTCCAAATCCAAATTATAATTAATATTAAATACTAATAAAAATAAAAAACGTTGTCTATAAAAATCCAAAATTAAAACAATTATTTGAAATAAATGACATAAAGTATGATGTAATGAACTAAAAGTATTGATGAAATGTCGATGATGATGATTTGCTGAACGAAAAAGAAATAATTTCTATGTCGGATTTTAATGAAGAAAATCAGGATGAAGAAGACATCGAAGAGACATCCCCTATTTAAGTCAAGATGCTTTATTGGCTATTGAAAAAGTAAACTTGTTTGTTTGAACAACAGTTTAAGGAATTTACAAATGAGGAATTGAAACAGTTAAAAAATGTCAAAAGAAATTAAAAAAATAGAATTCAATTCAACAAAACAATCTATATTACTGTTTTTTAAATATTGATTAATAATATTTTTTTATGTAGGATAGGATTAAAAAGTTTTTTATTCCGCATGACTTAATG